TGTCCGGCGCTCGTCTGCTGACCTTGTGTATCTGTGTGTGCGTGTGTTCCTTCACTATCCGACCGTCCTACCCCGTCCCGTCCGGGCAAAGAGAGCGCCAGCATGGAGACTGCCACAGGCAAAGGTAGGCTCGATTGGGGGATGTCAGGGACGGGATGAACAGCTTCACTTCAGTTAGTGCCAGTTGCCTGATTTGAAACGCGGCGCTTTGGGTGCTGTATCCACCAATAATTGATTCATCGCGATTGGTAAAAATTAGGTAAAAATGGCGATTTCCGGCAAACATGTCGTCAGTGCAAGCCGTAATTTTTTCCTGCTTCCTGTATGCTAGTGATTGGGATGTCGCCACCCTTCTGCCTTTGTGCCGCTAGCATTGCCTTCTACCTGTGTGACTGATGTCTGCTGTCCGCTACCACGGTTCAATCTCCATGCCATTGCCCACCCTACTCACCCAGCTGCCCAGGCCGTGCCAGACGGCTCCCAATCCTCCGCTGACGCCCTGACCCGATCTCCGCGGCCGCAGGTGCTGATCAAGAACGACCAGCCGACCGGGGACGTTCTGCTGGACGAGGCGCTGCGTCACATTAAGGAGACGGAGCCTCCGGAGTCGGTGCAGAGCTGGATCGAGTACCTCAGCGGTGAGAGGAGACGGCGTGAGGGAGGGACTGAGACTGCAGCTGTGAGAGGGACGAATGATTGTCTGACCTGGTGGGAGGACTCTGGCAACCACGCCGGATAGGTAAAAAAGACGAGCGATGGGCTGAGAGGGACTGGAGCTGTGAGGGGGCCTGGAGAGGTTAGATGAGTCATAATGCTGAGAGGGGTTGGAGATGTGAGTGGGATTAGAATGATGAGAAATGGTCAACATAATCTTGTTTGAGTCTTAGGATATGTTAGTGTAGGAAAGCGTGTAACAGGAACTGATGACCATGATATGCGAGGCCTTTCTTCTATCTTTTTTTTCATTATGTAACTAACCTCTAGCTCGGAACACAATTTTGAGAGCTGGCAAACGATGGGTTCTAATCTCCATATGAGACCATTGCGTCCTTTCTGACCCCTGATCCACCTTCGACCCCCTAGGTGAGACCTGGAATCCGCTGAAGCTGCGCTACCAGCTGCGCTACGTGCGGGAGCGGCTGGCCAAGAACCTGGTGGAGAAGGGCGTGCTGACCACGGAGAAGCAGAACTTCCTGCTGTTTGACATGACTACCCACCCGGTGACCGACACACAGGCCAAACAGCGACTGGTCAAAAAGGTAAACTCGCCGGGAGGGAAAGCGTGGGACGGGCCGCGGTGGGTCTGGTGTGGGTGTTGGGTGTTTCGAGCGAGGAATTGTGCTTGATATTGATTTAGGTAATGTGGTTTGACAGTTACCTTTATGTTGTGCGCCAAGGATCAGTGGCCAGTGTCAGTAGGATTCCCTCTTTTCAAAACGTCCATGTAAATTTGCATAATCATGACGACACTCATGAGTGCCAATTGGCATTGGCTCGTCCGTGTTCCAGGAAACTTCACGTAAGCAGATGTTCCCATGACTACTTTATGGTGACCTTGTATTTTGCCCGTCATCACGTCACCTGCTGGCAGTCACACCTGGGTGACCTGCTAAACTGACGCCGTCAATCGACAGTTGCTGACGTTCGTTTTGTCGATAGCGCCTCAATGCAGCTGCTCAGCTCATTCCACACATTTACGCTCACTCCCACACCCCTCCAGAGCCCGCCCACCCCGATAACCGTCCCCACGTCGTAGCCCATATTCCCCACACGATACAGAGCTCATCCAACGCAAGTTAACCCCACACCCCACTCGAACCCGTCCAAGCTAGGTGACGTCCCTCCCCTCCCCTGCCGCTATTACTAGGTCCAGGACGCTGTGCTCAGTAAGTGGGTGAACGACCCACAGCGGATGGACAAGCGCGTGCTGTCGCTGCTCATCCTGGCGCACGCCTCGGATGTGCTCGAGAACGCTTTCTCACCGCTCTCTGATGACGACTACGAGGTGGGCGGCGTCACGGAATGGGCGGGTCACGGGTCACGGAATGGGTGGGTCACGGGTTGTGTGGTGGACGGGTTCACGGAATAGGCGGGTCACGGGTCACATGGCGGGCGGGTCACGGGTTGTGTGATGGGTGGGGACAGCAGAGCACGTGAGAATCACGCCTTTGAGAGTGATTGGCTGTAGGGGTGACTGTTTGACTTACTGGATGAAATAGCTTAATGAATAATTGTCTGACCTAATGAACAAATTAATGAATGCAGACTGATTGGGTGGGGCCTTATACGAGTTGACTGATAGAGGTCGTAGGGCAGACGGTTAAATATGTGCTTGTGCCAAGCGGCTCCTATGATAGGTTAGGAATTAGGATAACTTTCAGCCGCTTCGGAGGCTTCACGCATGGTCGGTAGTAGATGACGTGGGTTGTGTAGCGTCGTAGGGAATGGTCCAATGTGATCGCCCATGCGCCATGTGCCGGTTCCCGTCGTCCTGTACAGAGGAAGTCACGTGGACGGATAGAAGTTCAGCCCACGTGTGCCTTATCTGTTTGAAGGAGATAGCTAAACCAACACCGTTAGGCTGCTCTGTTATCGACTGTGACGTTATCTACCATAAAGCTTCACCTGCCTGTTTACAGGAACAATGTTCAAATGCGAAGTGTTCCCTTTCTTTCTGATACCAGTTGGTAACAGTTGAATGTATGCTCCTTCGCCTTTTGGGCGAAGAACGAGCGAGCGAGATAGTGAGCCCCGCACGTGCGGAAAGGCGAGAGGGTACTTTCAACGGGCTTATGCAAAGCACCCTTCTAACAGATCGCTAGCGGTGTGCCAAATTTGAACGCGATCGGCCCTGCCGTTCCTGAGATCTGGAAGCCGCATTCTGCACGTGCGCACGTGCAAACGGTGTCCAAACTGACTTTTGAACGGCACCCTACTAACCGTTCCCCAACCGTGTACCAAATTTGAGCGCAATCGGCCCAGCCGTTCTCGAGATCTGGAAACGTCCCCTGCACGTGCGCACGTGTAGTAGCACCTTAACCGCAACACATGGGAATGCGTTGCCTGGTGGGTGCCTAACTGTATGCCAAGTTTCAGCAAAATCGCCCCAGTAATACCGAGTTATTGAAATGGGAACAAATTTGGCACCTCTTCTTTTTGTATTTTGCACGTGCAGTGGGGGTGCCTCACATAGATTAAAAGTATCTGACCTTTGGTAGAAGGGATGCAGCTACCCTACAAAAATTACCGCGAGACAATCGCCCAAGCGGCTGCGGAGATATGAGCCTATCAAAATCACTACTTTTGCAAAACAGCCTGAACCAGGGCTGCGGAGTCGATGGATTTTCGGCGACTCCGACTCCGACTCCGACTCTGGCTTTCAAAAACCAGCTCCGACTCCGACTCCGACTCCGGGCAGAATTGTCGACTCCGACCGACTCCAACTCCCGACTCCGGCTCCGCAGACCTAGCAGGGCTGCGGAGTCGACAGATTTTCGGTGACTCCGACTCCGACTCCGGCTCGGGTTTCTAAAATCGACTCCGACTCCGACTCCGGTCACAACTGTCGACTCCGACCGACTCCGACTCCGACTCCGACTCCGCAGCCCTGGCCTGAACACCCTTGACTTTTCACGTGGCACGTGCCACGACGGTCACTGAGATGTATCAAAAGTAGTCAATTATGGGGTAGAAGGGATGGGGCTACCCAGCAAAAAAGACTAATCGGTCCAGCGGTTGCTGAGATATAATCCTCTCAAAAGCGTTACAGGCCGGGCCGGGCCGCTCATACTGAGATTTTACCGTTACCTATATTGAAAAGACTTCGCTTCCCTCGCTGCGCTCGCTCGCTCGTAATCAATCTATCTCTTAAAGACTCCATACCTAGGATTCATTAAGTAAATGTCTCCTAATCACGTAAACGTAGCAGACCGCTTTTTTGCTTCAGTTCTATAGCGTCTTATCTCGTCGGCGCCCTCACTCCTCTGACGGCCATTGCCCGTACTGAAGCTTCCCCCGCCGTCCGCCAGGTGGCCACGAAGCGTATCCGCGAGCTGACTGAACTGGACCTCGACGCCGAGGCGGCCAAGCCCAACTCCCTGCCGCTTATGTGGGCGGTGTTCGCCGCATTCCTAAAGTGATGACGACACACTTAGTGACGGTGACGCCGCCCGGCGCGGCAGTGACGTGACGCGGTGAGTGACGGCGGACTGTGGGGTGTCACAGAGCCGTCACGGAGGTGTTACAGTGGTGTTACGATGACGTTACGAGGCGCTACGAAGACGAGCGACAACTTAACACGGCGGGCACTGAATGGCCGCGGAGCAGTGTGGAGTGACCGTGTTCGAGTCTGACCTTTCGTGCCTGGGATGACGGTGGCAGCGTGTGTTGACTCAGCAACCTACGCGGCGAAACACACCCAGACGGCGACTCCCTCAGCCGTTCTATTATCACCCAGAGTGGACCACGAGTGCTGCGCCGAGCGAGCGAGTGTCTGAACCGGCCGAGCGACTGTGAGAGTGGATAACGACCCGACTCGATTCAGAGGCCGAGCGAACGGGTGGACAGACGGGCATTGAGTGTGGACGGTGGACGCCGAGTGGTGTGGACAGTGTGGACGTGGCGGTGTGGAGTCGGAGTGTGGCCGTCCTAACTCACGGGCATCCCACTGCGTGGCGCCACCGTCGTCTGGTGCAAATTGTACAGAATGGTGGTATCTATTGCGACGGCATCTTCTGCGCCCAGGGAGGGGAGGATTGGGAGGGAAATTGTACAGGACGTCGGTAACTCTAAACGTCACCGTCTTTTGAAGGGCGGGGAGGGATGGGTGTGGGGGTTATATTGTCCAGAGTGTTTGTAATTTGTCTTATTCCGGAGTTTAGTGGAATGAGTGGAGGTGAAATTGTACCGTATCGCGGCGGCCGCGGTTGGTTACATATGAGGAGTGGTAGTGTATACCATAAGATGCTCCGAAAGAGGTCGCTTTTTAATCGTGCTGTGCGCTCGCTTTATCTCTATATTCTCATCCTCACCGGTCCCCACGCTAGATTTCGTATGTGTATAAATATTTTTGTTATGGATTAGACTCTCGTGTTTCTGTTAATGATCATGCTTACACACAGGTGTTGAATATACAATAGGGCGTAACGCATTTGAGCTCGCGCGCCACGGATCATAAATATCAAACGTTAGTTGTTGACCTTACTACGAACATTCGAGTACACACTGTCGATATAACAACAGACACCGCAAGCTAACATGGCATAAATGCGTAACTCACACCCGATAAAGGCATTTAAGTTAATAAAAAACAGCTCACTTTTACATACATGACCTAAGGATACCACATTTCGGTGTAACTTATGTCAAACCGACGCACAACTGCCAGAGGATATCACGGAACTGGCAAACGCTAAATCCCCGTATCTTGCACTTCCAACGCCAACGGGCATTGACGTTTACGGACCAAACCAGGCAGTAGCGAGCAGTGAGCACACATTTACTCATGCTTTCGCACTACAACTGCTGGGATACAACGCCCGATAGCATTGCACTGCAGTCTGTCGCTCAGTGTCGGCACGGGGAAGGTCTGTTTGTGACCGTTCCAGCTCACTATGTGACGTTCATTCTCAGTATTCGGGAAGAGTCTGTCGCCGTAAATCGTCCGCCCCACACTCGCTGGCCGCCTGATCGCAGCGGACCTCTCATCCTAACACTTTTCTTCGACTGGCTCATATCGATGACGCTAGCAATCCAAAACAATAGTTTTCCTCTTATATGTGGTTGGTAACGTCAAGTCCCAGGCGAGTGTACCCCAATCTCACGGCTCAGATGACTTGCCGTTTCACAAAATTCGCATCATTTTCCATTTTCCTGCGCACTGGCTGATGGCCTGATGGCACAGCCGTCCTGCTCACGTGATTGCCCTTCGTTGTCTCACGATTTCCATCGTGCAGATCACGTGTCATTCTCCAAACAACGGCCTTTGACGGCATCCACCGCATATCACGTGATGTCCTGTGCGAGCTCGTCATTTACCACACTCACTGGTCACGTGATATTCCTCTATTCACAATGACCACTGCCATAGCATAAGCCTATGCCCTGGCAGCATTCCTCTTTGCAACATTGACTCACTTCACACAACACCACAACCTCTGCCGCTTGGTTACCATCCTGTTCAGCTAGGTGACCACCTTCCGCTTCATGTCGAGCCAGGGCCTGAAGACGGGCAGGCTGGCCGGATACTCTGCGCCCCTCTTCCTCCGGAGGGTGCCGTCGGGGTTGCGGTACGGGTAGGAGGCGATCATGATGGGCAGCTGCAGCTTGATCTCCTTCTCCAGGTTGTCTGGTTTGATGATGAACTGAAACGAGACAGAGCAGTGTCAGAAAAAGGTGCTGTGTGACGGGAGCTTCGGCGTCCGTCATTTTTGATGATTGAGCAAACAATTAGGTAATTATTTTCATCGTCATCTTTCCAGGCGGTGGGGGGGGGGGCATTTTTTGCCCCCCCCCCCTTTAGTTTTTTTTCTCGATATATCTCGAGAACCGCTGCGCCGATCGTCACCAAACTTTCAGTACCCTTCCGTAAATAGCTATTGCACATTATGACTAGAAAATTTTCCAACGGCTATGATAGGTTGGACGCTAATGACGTCAGAGTGACGTCCTTTCTGCCATTTTCGACCCAAAAAAAGGTTTCGCGAGAAGAGCTGTCAGGCCTACAGCTTTAGAGATACAGAAAAATGTTGCGACATAGTAGGTGTAAAATTTAGAGCGCTACAAAACTGCTGTCTCGGATTTTTGAAATTTTTGGATTTTGACCCCCAAAAATTAAAAAATATATTTTTTGAATATAATAGCCGAAAAATCCAAAAAGTTTTTTGAATTTCGAAAAAACGGAAGAAATGTGATAGTCCCTACCGCCTTCTATCTACATACCAAATTTGAGATCGATACCTCTGGCCAAGTTATAGCGAAAAAACTGTTCAAAATTGATGACGTCAAATTTTCAAACTCAATTTTTACCAATTCTAGACCTTGTAGCGCAAAACAAAGACCACTATTAGACTCCCCGTGACGAGCTGCATCGAATCAATACCCATTTTATGCAAAACTATCAACTTAAAAATTTGACCCTTTTTGACCTGACCTTGACCTGACCTTCACCAGAAAGTGACCTAAGCCGTACCTAATAGTATTATAACCAACACCATTGAGTTGGAAATGAAAAATTGGCCATAAAACATGCATCGCACAACCTTAGTAAAGTTGGGTTCATGTGACCTGACCTGTGACCCTTGGTGACCTGACCTGTGACCTGACCTGGTGTGACCAGTGACCTCTAATAGCAACATATGTACTAGACAACTGACGCCCTATAGCTGATTTTCGACAAAATGCGTTTTACTCGGTGTTATAGCGCTTTCCCTAGAAGCCCCGTGAACGGTGAAACATTTTATCTTTGACCTGACCTGTGACGTCATTGGTGACCCCGAGGTCAATGAAATTTGGTTTCGCTCAACAAATTTGACAGGGCTATCGAACGCCGTTTGAACTTTCCAGATCTGTCGAGTAGTTTCGGAGATACGGGGGGGGGGCAAAAAATACCCCCCCCCACCCCCACCGCGCGGAAGGTGGCCGGGAGGCCCACCGCCTGCCGGGTTATGAATGATTTATCACTTAACGGCTCGCAAGAGCGCAGTGGTGGCTCAACCTCAAGGACTCTTACAGGAACCGCCAGCCGGCATGCGCCAACCCATTCGCCAGAGAGTAAATCAATGAAAACGTTTACGTAAAAGGCTCGATCCGTTCGTGTCTATAGCTCGCGTGTTTGGCGGCAAAATAACCTTTTCATACTTGAGCTACTAAACGTTTCAGTCGCTACTGAAAATTGGCCCCAAATCACTAGATCTTCCTAGTAATATTATGACGTGTGCACTGTGCACTGTGCTGCAGCCTGGCTGTTGCGTGACCGGGGTTGGACAGCCATCTTCCTCGTGCATTGTGGGGCGCAAACATCCGCCGTAAACAATACGGGTTCCGAAAAGCAAACAGGGCCAACGGAACTGAAAAATAACCTATCGAGGATCTGTAAGACATGATACTGATCACGAATCACGATCAGTTGATTCAAAAGAAAGAAGACGGACCAAGTGTTCTCCGAATGACAACAAATATGTGACGATCGCTGGGGCACACATGAGATAGTCTGCGCTGCGCGTCACGCTCACCGGCGTAACTAAGGCTCCCCAGTCTGGTTTCGTCTCGTGTCAATCCCGTCTCATCCCATCCCATGCCATTCGAATTCCATTCACCCTATCCTTGAGTCCCATCCTTATCCGTAACGTTATACGTCCCGTCTCATCCAGTGCGTCCCTTCGCTTCGTTCCGCTCCATCCAGATTCGTATCATTTATGCTATCCCGCCTCGCCCCGTCCCGTCTCCTCTCGTCTCGTCTAATCTCATCTCGGCTCGTATCCGTCTCATCTGACATCTACGTCCCAACTCCGTCAGTCTCCGTCCAATAGTCCGTCCCGTTTCGTCTCGTCAATTCTTATCCCACTCCGTGCCGCCCATTCTCGTCCATCCCGTCCCGACCTGGCCAATCCCACCCCATCCAGAACATTCCACTGCCGCGTCCAGTCCCGTGAGGCCTCCCCATCCCGTCTCGCACCAAGGCCTGCGGGCAGTGGCAGCGCTGCAGACGGCCAGCCAGCCCCGCCCCTCAGCCCCGCGCGGTGGCCGCACAGCCTCCAGCGGCCCCCGGCAGCAGAGCCCGCTGAGGGCCGCGGTCACGGCAGCGCGCAGAGACCGATCAGCGCTGGCAGCGGACCGCAGCGGCGGGGAGTGCCGGCCGGGTGGCGAGGCATTCCCGAGCGAGCAGCCGTACGGCGGCCGGTGAGCCTGACGCGCGCGGAGGCCCCGCCGCGTGGCACGGGGTCTGCGCGTCAGGTGCTGGGGTCGGAGCGTGACTGGGAGGGAGGGGAAGGGGCGAGAAGGTGACGCGGGGGCGGGCCGTCGTCCGTCGCCGTGCCGCGATCGGGACGAACGTGGGTGGAGCTGACCAGTTGTTCGATAGGAATCAAAGTTCAGGAGTTTCGGGATTCAGAAGAAAAGCGTTCGTGCCAAACGGAAGTGTGAAAATGGGCTTTTGTCCTCGCATCATTTCATAATGTCTCCTTAGTTGCTGCCGGTGGCCTTCCATATACACCGACATCCACACGGCGCGGCACTGAATCAAACTCGGGTCGGTTATTGTCTGGCCTTCCCTGCCAATTGTCCGCGAGGAATGTCCCTGTCTTCGTCCCTCTCTAACGTGGTCCCACGCTGTCACCGGGAAGCAGCGAAAATATGGGGCGTGGGAGGCAGGTGCCCATTGGCATCCCTCTGCCCGGGGGACCAGGGGCGTCACCTCACCACAAAAGATGATCATCACCCATGGCTGTAAAATGCATAATCTTGGCCCGAGGCACGTCTCCCTATTCGGCCAGCTCATGGTCGGCAGGGTCTCAGCGAGGCGCCGCCAATGCTTCAATGCCAAGCTTGTATGCAATTCAGTCATCGCCGCTCTGCCGTGCATAACTAACTAGATGTTTTAACAAGAAATTAGAAAGTGAACAGTGTCCTGCGTCTCGTAACATAATGTATGGATCCGGGTGACTGGGGCTCAAACACTTACCATACCCCTGCTGGTTTAACAATGCCGTGCCTCGTGTTGGTACGACTTCCCTGGCCGATCTCTAGGTCACCCCAGCAACAATGGTCGAGGTTTAGACACACACACTCCTCGCCTGTTTAAATTTGTGCCGACTCAAGAACACAGTCCACAGACTGTTCGGGTCCTGGCGGGACCGTCGCGTAGGCTGGTCTGTTGCATCAGCGCGGTGCTTTGAGTTAAGACGGTACTCTGAGTCAAAAGTCAAGACTGACTTGTTGGGGAGTGAAGTGCTGCTCTGATCTGAGCGATTCTATCGAGTAAGTGTCCCAGCTGATGGCATAGTGCATATTACTAATTTTCTCCGGTGGCTAGAGAAGGCTCCATAGTGAACATTTAATACCAAGAGGTTTTGGATGTCAACTCGTTTAGACTTAATTAATTAAGCGATTCCATACGGAAAAGCGAAATATTCTTTGAAGTTCACGAGGGGGTCCCTAACGGTAAGAGCATGCGATCGCGCAATTCTAAGCATATCCAGATGACCATCAGCCTAAAGCGACTGCACAGTGCATACTGTCCCAAATACACATCCAGCCCGCAGCCCCCGGGCGCCACTACCTTTCACCTGGCTTTTTATGGCGGTGTGTCACCGCGACCGTACCGGCCTCTGAATGCAGATGACCGGCGCCGGGGGCCGTGGGCTTTTTGTCACCATAGAGATGACACTGCTGACCTTTTGGTTTTAACTGGCTGGTCAGGCGCCACACCAGCGCGGTACGATGGAGTGCCCTCTGTGCAGTGCAATACCATGTAGCGCTACGCAGTTCAAACATTAAATTTATGTTTAGGGGATGGTCTACCGTAAGACTTGCGAGTTGCAAGAGCCGTGCCTAAGATGTGAGGGACGAACTCTTGGGGTTTCGACCTTCGGTACATCATCTGCATTTTTTATACAGTGCACTGAAAAAATAAATAGGTATCATTTCAACTCAAGGACATTACGTCTATTTATAGCCTTCAGAAACCCTCGTCCAGCCCGTCAAATCCGGCATAAAAAGGATGTATTACCGCCGAATCACGGTTAGTGTTCAGTGACAAGCTAACTGCTCAGCTTTCACGAATATGAAAATCGTGAAGATCGTGATCAGGATCATGGATGTGATCGTGATGGCATACCGACATCCGTCACCCCGTCTCCCTGGGTATACTCACAAAGACATCATACTGGATCTTGATGAGGTGGCAGCCGCGCAGGTTGGTGGGCGGTAGCGGCGGGATGAAGAGCTGCTCGTTCTTCCAGTCGTCCACCTCGCCGGGTCGGATTTTGCCGCGTGTTATCCGCACCAGCTCTCGTCGCTCCGTGTTTACCACCTTACTCCGTGAGAGGTAGTGGATGGTCTGAAACGAAAGGCATTCGTCGGCCGAGGGCATAACATTCTATTGGACGGGCAGTGAGTAACTGAGCCGTCACTGGGAGCAAATAAGTCGGACGGACGGCCTAGCAGACACCGGTTACTGTGCGAAAGGACGGTCGAGGTTAGCCTAAAGTCCCGGAGACCGAACAAACGCATTGCCGCCGTGAACTGGGGAGAAGCCCTTGTCAACTTAATGGTCGTGCATACAGTTCTTAATTTAAGAAGGAATGTGTTTATCGAAGTAGTTGTGTAGTACATACGATACGAATTCTCCCATCATTTCATAAATCAGCGAACATAGACATCTCCAATGTTCACCGAAACACAGCACGACAGTCATCTTTCAGTGTGCTGTGGATTAGCCAGGGATTAAGTCCCTGCACCTCCTGCACAGGCTGGCGGAAGCCGGTTCACGACCATCGAACCAGCGACCAAACCGACACGAGGTATCGGATGAAGTTGATAGACCGGTAGATACTTGGCTCCGCGCCAGATCGCTCAGAGGACTGTCATTGTCCAGGCATGGCCGTGAGATCCGTCTCCTTCAAATGTCCCCAAACCGGCCCACAGTGTCGTCACACGTCCATTTACAGATTTCACTGCGGGCACGGTGACTAGAAAGCAGAGCCGGTGCCGAGTCTATGTAATGGTGCCTGGTGGCGACAGGCCATTTGTGGTTTCGATTGTCGCTACAAGGCATAGGCATTACGGGATAACGATTGGTCCGCTTACTGAAGACGTAAGTACTCTACGAAATTAATTGAAAGCAAATCCTGGGAACTGGGTGCGCACATGACAGGTGTGAGGCAGGACAAGGTGCACAATAAATAGAGTTATGGCCTATGGGGAAATATAATTTGATACTTTAAAAGCTTATACAAAATATACTACCAACTTTACTTTCGTCGATTAAACAAATCAAATTATACCACAAAGAGTCAAACAACTAGCCACTGAGTGGTAATTTGTCATTCAGTACTAACAAGTGTAAAACAAGGGTAAAAAGGAAAATATGTGTAGCCAGAGCTATTCGTTATACGGCAATGCAACATAAACGAGAAATTGGACTACCTGGACTCCCTAGTGGCTAGTGGATCATTCAGCATTCGTAGTAGAGTTGCAAAATTTCCCTACCGCACTACCGGCATGCCGGTAATTTTTCACTACCGCAGGTTTTTTTTTCGTGGTATCTGGCATGTCTTGCCGGTAGCATGCCGGTATTTTTGATTTTGCACAAAAAATTATCAGCATATGATTCAAACATTGGACACTAAGAGGCTATTGAATTGTAATAAGTTGGACAATGGGTGGCTGTTGGGTGGGGCGGTTACTGAAATTGCCAAAATGTGGCATCTCATGTAGGGGTAAGCCAGAATCAAGAATGCAGGTTTTTTAGTATGCCGGTAGTTTGGCGGTTTTTTTGCTTGGGGCGTGGTAGCATGCCGGTATCCCAGAAAATGTTTGTGGGGCGGGGCGGTGCCGGTAGCAGCCCATTGGGAAAACTTTGCAACTCTAATTCGTAGCCCAACTTAAAACCTACGCCTAGACGGGTGTTTGCATACCCAATTTTATCCACCAAAACCACACAGCACAACCAAGTTGCATTCCAAGTTGGATTTGGAGACGTTCACAAAAACACAGCCATAAATACCCAACCACCACCTCTCTGCATTAAAAAGGCAAAATTGAATCGTGTTCCGAATACGTTTTGGGACTTCACAACATGGTTTCCTGAGGTGAAGAACCATTAACAGGAGCCTCGTGCCCCGATAACCTGCGCTGACACCGTGCGTGCCGCTCCCGGGTTCCTCTCAGTGCGTGGTAAATGTTCCATCCGTTCATGTTTAATGCATGCCGTACGCCGCTCGCTGCGGACGCGTCTCATCAAGGCGTGACACGAGCCTCGCCTGAGGGGGCAGGCAGGTGAGCGCACAGGTCACCGCTCCAGTCGAGGTGAGAAATAAGGTCAGCGTGCCTGCGATCTAACACCCGTAGAGCCCGGTAAACGTGAGGTGAAAAAGATAAAACCTAACTGTAGGTAGGTTGACACATTTGTTACGCTCCTCACCTTACTAATGGACAAAGCGCTCCTGTTTCAAATGCGAGTACGAAGGTTGCACCTTTCCGAGAGCAAAGTTGCGAAGTTGATTCATGTCCAATCGAACTTTACGATTCTTTACCGGAAGCATAAGTACACATACATAATTGTCAGCGTAAACTCGATATCCATACCTAACAGTACATATTTCATCGCTATTTAACACAATGAAAAAAATTCCATCATGTATTTTTGTCATTCGTTCGTTCATTCATTCATTCATTCATTCCATTCATTCATTCATTCCATTCATTCATTCATTCATTCATTTATTCACTTAACTCGTTCATTCATTTTTATTCCTTTATCCGTTCTTTCATTGGGCATGACTGTCCCATATCAATAACGATAAAATGGGTCAAGAGCAGAGCTGCATGTCACTAAAGCGTCACTTTCGCTGGCGTCAGGGCGGTGATAGAAGTCACCGTTTTTATAACAGCGGTTACTGGAGCTTCAAAGGAACGTGAAAGCACGATTGGGATGCTGTTGAACTTTACAGGCGTTTCAAAATGATATGCGCAATGCGCATGACGCACTTGTAGCTTATGTCTGATGTGAATAGGGGAGAGTGGGGTGGGTTGTATCAGTTTTTACTCCGAGACCCATAACCTCGTAACTATCCGTGATAAACTCATTATTTCCATACTATCCCCTTCCTTGATTCTTCTGCTTTTTTGTGCAAAGTAACTTTTCCGCTACCTCTACCAGTTTTTCTTCTACGGTCTCCCGAATAGAACAATGTTTTTGATACAACTTGCCCCATGGCTTGGGTGAGTTGTATCACATGGTGGGGTAATTTGTATCACTATTTCACGTTTCAGGGAGTGTGCTTGCTACTGGTTTTGAACATAACAACAACATTAAATGGGGTTAATACAATGTATAGGTATGCTCAAAGGCTTCACTTTATTAGACCAAACTTAGGTCAATGCAATCCGAACGAAACATCATGAGACTAGACGCAAAAGTGGCCCGTTAAGAGCAAAGAAGCCAACACATTGTGCCGAAATGGAACGAGCATTGACTAGCTACCTACAAACGCGAGCCAGGACTTAGCTTTCGCGATCAAAAGCAACATACCCATACATACATACATACATACATGCTACAACATACCCCACCCGGCTCTGATACAACATGTACCTAGCCGCCATCTTGGAAAACACATCCTCGTGCTCAAAAAACAGCGGACAGCTGGAGAAATCCGTTTTCACTCACGCAGCCTTAGAACCTACCCTCACCACCGCTACGGAGATCTTTCAAATTCGTGCACATCTAAATGCCCAGAACACACATTTTCTTGCAACTTATTTTTTTAGAATGACATTAAAAAACATAAAATCGGCTCTCACCTCGAGACGCGTCCACTCAGCCACAAGACAGAACAGGAAAAGATGGCGCCCGAAAAACCTCGTCGGCTGGTCGTGTCACGAGCGCCATCCATTGGATAAGTTTGGCACAATTCGCCCTGATACAACTTGGACATGATACAACTCTCCCCGATCTCCCCTATCTCTTATTTTTAGTTCACAGCTGGTTCAGGCTCTGTTAGCACGGTTTAGCGAAAATGTACGGCACCCACTAAATACAACCGCCCTAGCCAATTTTCTATTTTTAAGTGGCATGTGTTCCAAACAAGTCGGCGCTTCACTTAACACATGACCCCGCGTTCAGCCATATAAGCTGTTCCTCCATCGCGGCGATTGGCCATTATACCACCATAAATGGGTTGATGGGCGGCCTTTTCTCGTCTGCCAGTTCGCGGGAGGCGAATCCATCACGGTTCCAGCAGGCAGTCGCCGGCGGGGAGCGGAATGCGGCTCAGAGGCGCCGCTGCGCGCGGTGATGCGCCGCGGGGTCACGCCAGGGGTCACGGGGTCAGCAGCGGGGTCAGGGGATGACCGGGCGCCGGTCACGTGCCAGAGGTGGGTCACGACCGCCGGGTCAGGCGAGGAGACATGGTTGAGCGGGGACATGGTGTGGGATGGTGCGGTGAGGAATGGTTACTGAAGGGAGGTTACGAGGCGACTGGCACGGCACACACGCCCTCCTCTGTGGTCGGTCACGGCTGATACTGGTGGTCGCCGCCCACCACTCAATTCACACCGCCCTTTACTGTGCGATGTCCACCGTCCACGTCTCAGTCTACCGTTTACCGTCTACCGTCTACCGCCCATCATCCACCGTTCACTGTCTACCACTCCGCTCACTGTCGCCTTTTTTACCACCCACAACCATCCAGCGCCTCCAGTTCACGTTATGATGCTAATATGAGAGGGCCGTTGGAAAGCTTCTCCCATAAGCATCGTTCATAGATCAGCATATAGACCAGACAACGAACTGGCACATGTCGTAGTTAAATCAGACTTATCAAGATAGATGCCTTGGCAGGTAAACACAGCCAGATTCACTGGAGACGAAAAAAGCGCTTTGTCCGGCCTTTTCATGGATGAAGTATCACCCAATCATTTGTTGTTTGGTGATAATGTTTACCATGAACAAAACAAACCAAACGCACAGGCATGTGGTGAATAGACCAGCCTTGTGTAGGCGTTTGAATGGATGATGACAGCCTCAAACCTGCTGACGTGCGCACTTGATGCATAATGCTATCGGCCGCGCCGCCGATTACCGAGACCCACTGTATAATTCTCTGCCCATTCGTCTCAAGTTGTCTGGTGTGATGAGATCGAGCTATGGCCCGTGCCAGGTAACTTTCCGGCGGCCCCGGCCGAGCCGCGTCTGCGCACCCCTGAACTGCGGTTTCATATCCAGGCCACTGAGCCGATCGCATTTCCAGCCGTGTGAACCCAGCTTTAGTCGTGCCTGCGCGGCTTCCAGCAGCCAAGGTCCCTAGCTGCAGAGCCAAGGCCTGGAGCAGCGTAATGGCTGGGGAACCCGGCCTAGGTTAGAGCCATGGGAGTGCAGTACCCGGTTCAGTTTGTTTTTCGGTCCCGGGTGAACGATAATTGCATATCAGGGGCAATGCAAATTTCGAGCCAAGGTCAATGAAAGTATGGATAATTACACTGTGGGTAATTCATGGCAATTAGGCTTCCGTTTACAAGAGAGCATGCCAGCCTTGGTCAGTTACTGCCCATATATAACCCAGAACCTACCCACCGTAGTCAAACAAAATGACGTTTACAAGCGTGCAACACACGTGATGAAAATCAATAAATCACAATGGCAATCATGTCGACGTTAAACAAACCTGGAACAAATTAAAACGACCTAAAACTCTCACGGCAGTATTGTATACAGCGGAAGTTTTATCTGACTAGCGTAATCAGGCGTTGTTATTTACGGATGCTAACACGGATGCCTGACTAGTCTGGTATAATGCTGCTATCAAAAGGAAAATAAAGAATAACCGTTTAACGTGGGATTGCTATGATATGATTAAACATAAAGAATCTACTAAAACGCCGCAATCGATTTGACCTTTCAATCGCTTCGGGATACAAAGTCACGCAGAATGCCTAACCCACCGGATACCATGCGAGCCACTCACGAGTCACAAACATCCAGTCACACTACTCGAAATCACCCCAAACACTCACCTCACTGAGACAGGCGGCCGTCTTTTTGATGGTAACCCTGCTCTGGTTGTCGATGGTTGCCCAGACGCCGATGGTCTCTCCTGGCACGTAGCCGCCGCGGTCCAGCCGCACGCGGCACTGCACGGGGCCCGACGTCATGCACGTGAGGCCCAGCTTGTGTTCAATCTCGCAGTGAAACGGTTGCTGTTGAAGAGAACCGAGTGGGGTCAGAGCGGTCAGAGTGGTGAGGGAGGGGGTGGGAGAGAAAGGGAGAGAGAGAGGGGGAATGGAAGAGAAAGAAAGGGAGAGAGAACGATAGAGATAAGACACAATAGGTAAAGAGAAATAGAGAAAAATAGAAATGAGAGGGAAATATGTTAACTGAATAGTTAAAAGAAATCAGACATCGATCTTTCCTGCAAAAACTTAAAATCATGAAAGGAAGTAATCAGTAAAAACACGGTCACACATGTAAACGTGACTGCACAGTGCACACACGCACACTCCGCTTCTGATCCTACAGACAACAGATAAATCGCAGCACACCGTCACATGCCAGGTCACCCAGGGATGCACGTGCATCACTTCTCCAGCCGTACATTTCTCGGAGGAGAGCCCATTTCGCGCCACGCTGACTGCGGCGGCAGGGGGTGACACGCCGCGGCTCACGCGGTCAGGGACCGTTATTCAGCCGGTCTCTGCAGCCGCCCCGCACCCCACCGGACCGCGCTGGCTGGTGTCATCCCCTGTCCGGAGGGTGCGTATTGCGGCGCTCTGTAGCTAAGCTACAGAAAAGCTCTGTAGCTTTTCGTAGCTAAGCTACAGAGCTCAGTGGAGTGAGGCGGCAGGGCCTCAAGGTGTGAGGCGAGGACACGCTCCTGCGCAGTGTGTGTGATGCAATGTGGTTTTCGTGACTCCGTTTGGGACTGTTTGTCACGTACAGATGCACTCGCACGTCCGTAAGGTCTGGTATGACTCAGGGTCGTGCTCAACACAGCACCGCATGTTTTGCCGATTCTAGACAGGAAACAGCATTTTCACTTTCTTCATTTTTTATGGGTTAGAACACGGTGTGCAATATATAAATTATCTTGTGTGACGATAAAACGTGTGACGATAAATTAAAAATAGAGCATGATATTCCTGAGCCATGCACCAAAACTTGATCTCGTTGTATTGCGCCGTTCCGATCACCACAATCGAAACGCTGTACAAATGCACTGCTATGATTCCGTCGATAAGGTCTACTGATCGGTTCCTCCAAACAGTTATCACCTCCTTTTTATCACCTGTTCCCAGCAGCCGCCATCCCCACTTTACGACTCCCATCAGTCCCGCCTCTGCTCCTTCGTCGGCCATCCGCGGTCGGCCGCGGCGCCCACCGTATTCCCGTGTTTATCGATCGTTTCTGGCCGCCGTGAGTCGATCGCTGGTGACCGCGGGCGGTGAGAATGGCCACACAACCTCAGCCACCGACCACCATCGGTCGAGGATCCGCGGTCAGTCTCACGGCAGCCACCCGGGTAAAAACGAGCCTGTACGCGCCGCCGCCGGTCCAACGATTAGTCAGCGGGCTGACCATTAACACCGATCCACGACACGGTATCCACGGGCCGGCCCCAGTGAACGGACGGACTCTCCCACCGGAGGGCGGCAGAGGAGCGGCGATACTGGCAGAGACGGCCACAGATACCGGTAATTAGTTTCAATAACTTGTGACTAATCGTAGATAATTATTGGTTATTTTTCATCGAAGACGCCGTTGTTGTTTTTTTGGGGAAGAGCTGGTAAGGCTGAACAGTTCGGCTTGGAACAAAACGGACATGTATAAAAATATATGCGTCATATCTAACGCATAAGTTCCTTAGGCACGTCACAGGCACGCTCCTTAGGCCCTGTATGACAATTACACGAAAGCCATGGATTTCGCCCAGTTTGTCACCATGCACCTTCCCAGGTACCGTCTTAGCTCATCATTGCCCGTATCATTTTGTTTGATACATTACCAGTGGTTTGCCAGCCAGCCGCAGAAACTAAACGGTGCGACAACCGCACTCAGTGATTAAGCGTTTATCGGCCTCTGATAGCAGCCTACTTCTCGCTCGAAAGCCGCGGAAGGTAGGTACGCAATTACTGGAATCGTTCTGCCTCGTACCGCAGATTCGCGTATAAATTTGTCACATCGCTGGGACCACATAACGATTCTTTAGCTGAAATTACGGCTACTTATCCCTTCCTGCAATTTCTTTTGCGAAGTATATGAGTCGGCTTATCAATTTCGGAAAGGCCTGACCCAGTTTTCGCCAAATCACCGGGTGAGTCATAGGACGGGTGGCTAATAGCTTACAGACGACTCTGGGACGAGGCCGAATCAGCGTCCCTGGTGAGTCTGTTCAGCGGGCTGCGGCGGTCGGGCGGCTCGCCAGAGGTCAGGCGGGGTCAGGCAGGGTCAGCCGCCGCCTCTGACCGCTCTCTAAGACGGCGGCGCCGGCGGGCGGCTGGCGCGAGCGAGCGGTGCCCAATCTGACTTTCAGATGAGCCATGGCGCGTCAGCGGCGCTCGGTGACGCCGGCAGGGCGGGGCGGGGGCGGGGGCGGGGGCGGCCGAGGCTGCTGCCCCCGGATCTGGCGGGCCCGTCAGTCCGGGATGACTGGCCTGGGATCAGCTGAGTGCCGTCCACCGGCACTCCCCCGGGCCAGGGATGAGTGCGGTGTGGTATGGAGCCATGGCCGGGCTGAAGGATGGGAGGGACAATCAGCCAGACTAGGGCCGACTGCTAGTGCGTTGTGTGGCGCATAAAAATCGAGGGGTTCTTTTCAACTCCCATAAGTGTAACAAAATAATGATGTTCTTACAAAATGGGTAACCATGAACATTACCTACGCAAACATCACACAGGAAATGAGCCTGACTTCAGTTCCACCGTTTGTGGGACTGATGTGGGAGAACTGACACAAAGGTCAAACTGCTCGGTCATAGGGTCACTGGTCAATAAGCATTCAGCTGACAGTTTCGGTCACTGATTCGCACAGCCTGGGAAACCGAGCGACAGAACCGCATCAACTCAACCACCATCGATTCGATTAGTGTACGTCGGAATGACAGAACTGTAGCACCGAATTCCACACGTTCGATCGTGACTCATTAGTTCCTTTTTACCGCTCATCCCGAGTCGTTCTCCCCGTGTCGAATCGTGAGCTCCTCTCCATATGTCGGGTCGTGAGTCCGTTATCTGGTCAGACAACTGCGCTCTCTGCCTGGGCTGTGACTGTACTATCTCAGAGAACCGTCACGGTCTCCCTACCGCGAGCTTATTAACCGCGAGACAGACGGTCTGACACAATGGTGGGCAGGCCGCGGCCTGTTACCGCCGACAGCGTCTCGTTATTCGGTCTTAACTAGTTCAATGTGTACAGATGAATGTTTCATCTGCTTTTAAGAGAGCACGTAGAGTTCAAATCACGGGCTGAATCGGGCGTTAGTTATGATGAATTCCTCTCATATCAGCAACACATCGTGCTATTATACAACATTTCCTAAACACACAGCAGTCGCATATGTAACTGTACACACATCACAAACACAAGCGGTATGAATGAAAACGATATTTTTTGCTATTTACCATCAAGATAGGCAAACAATCCCCTATCCCTGACCCAACTCACCGCAAGGACGGGCGGCTCGACGTTGAGGTCGATCGGGTTCATGACGATAAACACCTGCTGGTTCTTGTGCACCAGTCCGCCGTTCTCTTTGATGGCCGCCTTGCAGAAGAACTGCACCCAGCCGTGCTTTCCGAGGAAGGTAGACGGCAGACCCAGCGGCAGGCCCAGCTTGAACGGGAAGCTGTGGATGCCGGCAGAGAGAAGCACTGGAGCTTGACCTGGAACGGGGGACTCGCGTCAGCGGTTGTCGCATGGCATAGCGTCCACAGGGCAAGAGTGTAAAAGGCTGCCGTCTCGTCGTGACTCGTCGTGTGGTGCCTGAAGTCCTTGTTAGATGTACTCATAGGAAGCAGAACTGTTTGAAAAACTTTGCAGTTTTTAGTTCCGAGGAGGTGTGAGCTGGGTGCCGTAGCTTTATTCAGCAGCACGGTCACCCATGTCTTCCTGTGTGCTACCGTCATGTGCTGCAGTGCAGTTACTAATGCTTATGCTACCTTTCTACTCGACAGTGCAGTCACCTTGCCTGCTGTTACCTTTCTATCCCGCAGTGCAGTCACTCTTCGTAGTGACTCACGCTGCACGCTGCGGTTTACTCTCTCAGTGGTATTTTATATGCCGCAGTGCAGTCCCCAAGGCTGGTGCTACCCTTATACCCTGCAGTGCAATGCTATTCTTATATGCCGCAGTGCAGTCCCTCATATTGGTGCTACCTTTATAGTTTATACCCTGCAGTGCAGTCACCACTGTTGGTGCTATCCTTGTACGCTGCAATGCAGTCCTTCCAGTGCTACCTTCTTGTGCCGTAGTGCAGTTTCAGAGCCTGGTGCTACTTCCTGCGCAGCGTGAGAGTCTCCGCTCGTATGTACGTACATGCCGAATAAATCTCGGCGCCTACTTCATGAAGCGAATGTTCACTTAGTTGACTTAGTTACTTTACTTATTTGGGGATTGATGATTCGCTCATATAATGTTATATACCATCATATCGGCTCACAGGTCACCTTATGCTTTTGTCAGGGAATTGGTTTACCTCAGCACTATACCTGAATTTGCCATGCGATTTGTCACCTAGATGTCATTTGTCACTGTGCATCATACCTTCTATGCCATAGGCAAGAAGGTAACTAATTTTTTATATACTTTAAAATCCGCTTTTGAATAATCGTATGCCATTATTTTTTTTCTCAGGCATATGTAGTTTATAATCTGCTAATACAAACATGGCATTATCGGTAGAATAACCTATTTCCATAGCAAACGATAATGAATTCAATTCAAATAGAAGTTAGGCACGCCACACTGCGAACTTATTTAGCTAGTTCAATGCATTTATTTGCCTGACACGTGCCCTTTAAAACATCAGTTTTGTTCAATATGTCATGGCATGAAATTTGCATATTTCGATGACTTAACAACTCGAGAAGTCGCTGGGCTGAAAAATGAGTAATTATCCCCGACATAAACGTTTATTCTAATGACACACCATCAACTACACCAAGAGCACTCACTTAAGGTATATTCCTAATGGGAACGACGCTATGTCGGTCCGAAAGTTATGTGAGACGTCGTGACTGGCAATCTGACCGCACTGAACCCGCTGGATCCGGGTTGTCCCACTCCTTCCCAGGGTCTCGGTCCTTATCGACCATTCAGCAGCGGGAACAGACAGTGGCCCCGGGCGGTCTACCGGACAGGTACCCGCAGAACAGGGGAACCTTATCTCTGACGCCGCGGGCAGAGAGCTGATGAGTTTCCGCTGTCAGACCCGCGGCGTGGTATTGTCTCTCAGTCGCGGCCGGGACTGAGATCTCAGAGCTGGGACGAGTTCTAGTAATTAGCGACAGTGTCACCCGCCCTACGAGCTTCCTGTGTTACTGTGTCGTGAGTTTATGTCATCTAAGCGTAACCATGACTCATTTTTTTCATACTCGCTAGTGTCTTCCCCAGTTTCCATTGCATATTTAGTATACTGATGCAAACATATTAGAAGAAAAATTGTAGCAGTCCGCACGGGACATGAACCGTCCGGAGCATCCATGATCACTGCATCGTGCATCAAGGAGCATGAATATCAGGCACACCAAGCCTTCCAACATACTCGTACATTTTGCGTTACGTACCTGGCTCTCCTAAAAGCCTCATCTTGAAGTCGATGTAGTTTTCTTTGTCGATGTGTCGCTGGTTTTGCCGGTCGCTAACTTTGACCGTTCCTTCTCCAACCACGTGGAAAAAGACACCTGAAAATAAATATTGATTTGGTTACATACCGTACTTGGCGAGCAAGAGTGGCACGAAAAACACCAAATAGATGGATACGCCTTTAATACGAATGTCCCTTTTTACAGTCAACGCAATATAACTACCATTGACACAACTAATAATTGCGTTGGTTATTAAAATGGGTACGAACACGAACGTTTAAGTATTAATGCACAACGAAACACTCCTTATATACCACACCGTTCCATTCACAGAGGTCAATGCTCTTTGACTAAGCATTAGTTTGGTGAATAGACAAAATAACGAATTGATGATGACTTTCATCCATCAAGCTATTGTCCAAACATAGGGAAATTGAGCCCATGTGAGGTGCGCCATTGTTCATTTACATTCAACAGATGATCGACTATGAAGAATAGTCAATAGAACCGAGACTTCACGCTCTATTTCCCACCCCCGTGCACATCTGCTTGTTGTTTGCACCTTCTTTACAAACTAAAATACGGCGTTTAGTCTTCAGGTACACACGTATTCACAGCTTCAACATAGCTTTAAATACATAGATACTAATAGCTCTTGCAATCTCTTCAAAGAGGTGATCTATGGATTTAATCCAGCCTTCTTCATTTCGTACTCCTAGATTAAGGTTCGGTGGACAAAAAGTTTTCTTATCCCTCCTAAGCTCATCGCATTATCGCATATTACGAGCATTTGATATAAATGGGAAAGGCAATGGGAACGTGTTGTTTTTATATTAAAATTGGTTACACATGTGTTTCGGGAATAATCCCTTGGTCACACCATATAAAAATAACTACCTATATCGAAATACAATCGAGGTCGAACGGGGTCGAATGGGGACGTTCACAGACACTCACAGATTAGCAATTCTATACATGACTGAAAACGTTACACTGCTTTTCGCCCGGAACCCCTACTTCCTGAAATCATTTTTCAAAATTAATTGAGCAGTGTGCTTGCTGAGTTTTACTTTACCCGAATTCCCATTGAAATTACTAATCGTAGAAATAAACGCTGCTTCCACCGCCTGTCGGTTACGCTTATTTAATCCCACGCATAGGTTTGACATCGCCGACCAGTTTGGCAAATGCCCCGCGTCATCCACATGCTGCACTATGGCGTTAGATTCTTGGTGATTCCGCAAATCTCTTTTGTGTTCCTCTACCCGTTTAGCTGCACCCCTGTATGTTTCCCCTATGTAGCTTTTTTCACAAACGCCACATGGAATTTTATAAACTCTTAGTCCTGTGCTCGCGTGTATCTTCATGGAAACGTTAGAAACGGATCATTTTCTGAACATCGTCGGTCAAAGCACCACATGGCTAAGGTACGTGGATGACATTCTGGTTATAGTGAACAAGCAACAAGATTTAGACAGTGTTCTTCGAAAGCTCAACGACGTGCACCCGAAAATACAGTTCACCTGCGAACAGGAACAAGATGGCAAGCTCCCTTTCCTAGACACACTGATTTGGAACCGAGAATCAAGACTGATGTTTTCCGTATACCGGAAACCGACCAACAAGAATGACTTTATCCATTTTTATTCGTCGCACAGTCAAAGAACGAAGACTGGAGTCGTTTTGGGATTTTATCTCAGAGCGTTTCGCATCTGTTCAAAGGAATATTTACAGAACGAGCTAGAGTACATTAGGACAACTTTTACCAAACTCAGCTACCCTTTGGGTCTTCTCCTTCAGCTAGAAAAGAAAGCTATAAAGATCCGCTCAAGATCCTCCAATTCAAATGCCACGAAAAGAAAGGAATATATATCAGTACCTCTGTCAGAACAATCTGAAGTGATCACAAGCTTTACCAGGGGAGCCTTAAACATTACATCTCCATCGGGTTCAACAATTAAGGATATTTTACGGCGCAAGAAGAAAGCAAGCAACCAAAACAGTGTGGTTTATAAAATTCCATGTGGCGTTTGTGAAAAAAGCTACATAGGGGAAACATACAGGGGTGCAGCTAAACGGGTAGAGGAACACAAAAGAGATTTGCGGAATCACCAAGAATCTAACGCCATAGTGCAGCATGTGGATGACGCGGGGCATTTGCCAAACTGGTCGGCGATGTCAAACCTATGCGTGGGATTAAATAAGCGTAACCGACAGGCGGTGGAAGCAGCGTTTATTTCTACGATTAGTAATTTCAATGGGAATTCGGGTAAAGTAAAACTCAGCAAGCACACTGCTCAATTAATTTTGAAAAATGATTTCAGGAAGTAGGGGTTCCGGGCGAAAAGCAGTGTAACGTTTTCAGTCATGTATAGAATTGCTAATCTGTGAGTGTCTGTGAACGTCCCCATTCGACCCCGTTCGACCTCGATTGTATTTCGATATAGGTAGTTATTTTTATATGGTGTGACCAAGGGATTATTCCCGAAACACATGTGTAACCAATTTTAATATAAAAACAACACGTTCCCATTGCCTTTCCCATTTATATCAATACGTCTATGTAATAATAATTACGAGCATTTATTCACACCCGATAACAATACAAAAGCAATATTCTTCTGTTGTCACCGGGTGTAATTGTTCATAACAATGTTTCGCAAGCCACAAATATACGAGTATTTTAACTGTGCAAGTTAACGGTTCGTTCGACCCACGTGATTCAGCTCACACAGATCATGATCTGCGCTCACACGTAATTTTAGTTCCATGTCAATGTTGGAAGGCCAATGGCTTGCCCGTGGCCTGGTGGCAAGGCCCTATCTATGAATCTATGAAATTATGAAATTGTCTCCCAGGGATGAGGCACTCTGGTGTAGTGTTCGTTCATGTGCTAGCAATCGATGCATTCACACCTAAAAAAAAAACATTTATTCAGTTACGGGTAGGTTTGGATACAGGACTCCTACAAGGTTCTGTAGTTGAGCGTATTTTTCAGATTTGTCTACGCTGTTAAATATTTTTTCTAATCGTTGATCATAAAGCTGCAGCTTTTGGCGTAGGTATCTCTGCTTCACCTTGATGTTATTGAAGTCAAAGTTGACGTCGGTTTCTACAATTTAGAGATGATACCTAATACCCTTAACGAATCGTGATCATTTTTCATGAAAATGCATCACGAATTGAAATAAGCAAGCGTCTAACGAAAGGTAAACATCTGTTACCTTGAATGTTATTACTGCACATTCATTTGAAATGCAGCGGTAACTGGTATCAAGCCGCACGAGACACGCGCATGAACCTCTAGAACCGTGTGGCTATCCAACACTTACTTCTCTCCCATGGATGAAAGACCCACGAAGCATGAAGCTTTTATAAACAAGGTGTTATAACGGTGGATACATGTAGAGTCATTCAGTGGACCAAGTAACGACACAATGTATCGTCCCGTGTAGGTACTAGGTACTACACACACCATGATGTCGCTGCTGGTTACCGCAATGAAGTAACAACACCCGTTTAGAAGAACGATATAAAAACAAACAATGGGTCATCATGCGACACGGCGCCACCGGGCTGACGGATCCAGCACCATTGTTGACCCCCCCCCCCCCCCCCCCCCGCCACAGAGGCCTCTGTTTGGATGGAGTGGTCACGCGACCTTCCCTCCAGCCGCGTCACACTCCCGGCCCGTCACGCGTCGCGTCACGCGACGCACGCCCTCGTCACGCACTCTGTCGAGAGACGGGCGACTAACGACTGGGACCGGTACGCAGTCCCAGCGGGAGTGAATTGAACACCACCCAGGGATGGGCCTAGACAGAGCCTACGAGGCGTTATCATTGGCAGGTCGCTGCTGCGTGATCTTCATTGCATGACACTGAAGGTTTGTTCCCTTGTTAGTCAGTTTTTGCCGATTTTTACGCCCCGTGCTGCTAACGCCAGGGAGAGGTATCTCGCAGCTCCGGCTCTTCTCCCCAGCTATCGATGGGCGGAGGTAGCCATTGTCTGCTCTTTAGAGAGCGGCGCCGGCCCGGCCCGCCCATGTGACCCGGCGACCACCGAGTGAGAGTCGTGCTCTGTCCCAGCCTGCACGCAGAGAACGGCACCCAGAAAAAACCGCCGCCCGGCTGCATACTTTCCGCCTTGTAAGCGTCGGTCGTATGGAGAGCGGGGTCACGAGTCAGCACGGGTGTTCGGCTCCCGAACTGCGGCCAGAAGCCGCCGTGTAACGACGATATACTGGCGTGTTTTTCTTGTACTGACGGGGATTGGAGCTACCTTAGCTATGTCATGTGCGACGCATCAATCGCATCAGTGGCGACCACGAGTTACTCAAACAACGACAAAGTTTGCTGTGTAGTGCAGTGCATTAGTAAATATGTCACAATTGCAGATAATGTCAGATAAGGTAACATAAATGTATGAATGAATCGAACTTTTTCCACCTACTACCAAACTCCAAAAATATGGACGAAAGACAACATTGAGCCGATAAAAAAGGGGAAATTATGTCTGCAGAGAACACAGTGCCACGTAACCGGTAACATGTGAGCATAATGAGAAATATTTAGCGGAACGTGACAAACACAAAACTCGCCAACAACCACAACAGGGCTACAAAGTAGCTCTTTTGTTGAGCATGAAGCGAACCCAAGACGCTGAACGAACAAACGTTCGGGAAAGCTCCCAGACTTCCCACAGGCTTATTAATCAACGGCTACAGCACAGTGCATGCATTGGTGCACACTGCACCGCACCGCAGATAATGTCATGCCAGGATAATAAGCCGTGGGATTTCATCTGGTCACAGCTACACAATGACGGGTGACGTCAGCTGTCACAGACCAGGAAAATGGTAGCAACACTACCAGACAGAGCAAAATGTACGAGTCACAGATACCGCGCGAAATCAAAACAGCAAAAGGAGCAAAGAGGAAAAAGTGGGAGAGGGAGGAAAAGAGTCCAAGGCAATGGCAAGAGAGAGAGAGAGAGAGAGAGAGAGAGAGAGAGAGAGAGAGAGAGAGAGAGGGGAGGAGGAAGAGAGAGAGAGAAACAGAGAGATAGAGATACAAAGACAGAGACAGAGACATAGACAGACAGACAGAGATAGACCGCAAGAGAGATAGAATGAGTGAAAGAGAAATATGAAGAGACAATCAGAAACAGATATACAGAGAAGCGAGTGTGGAAGACGGAGAGACGAATTAAACGGCGGAATCTTGTTTTTCGTTTTAATATTCACCACTTCAGCCTTTCACTTGGGTTGTAATGCTGCGCTGCAAGGGCTGATCATTGATCATGTTTACAAAAAGATACTTCGATCCCGGCAAGACACGTCCACTCGACATCCTGTTAGCGTTGCATTTATCCGTGGTCGGGGTCACGGGGTTAGCGCCAGTCTCGCGTGCCAGAGGTGCCATCGAACAATAACCATCGTCATCGACCATGGGCGCGGCCGATTGTTGGTGCGATGGATGGGGGAAACTGCCGACCTGTGTTCTCCAACAATACCGCCTAAGATATAAGAGAGCTCTGGGTCAACGGGCGATTTAAGCCTGTCCAGAGCCTGTCCACTTCATCAGCTGCTCAATCGAACCAAGAAACAGCCCTCGGCACCACGCCCAGTTCACATCCTTTAGACACCGCTGTCATCTCCCCTGGTATTTCGAGGCTCCAGCTCTGACACAAAGGCTGTTACTCGTCATGAGCAGACGGTTAACACCAGCTCCATCCCGACATTTGACCGGTCTGACAGAGACAGAGACAGAGACAGAGTAACACAGCAGCAGCAGTCATGCCGTGCAGCATCCCGGAAGACCGAAGACCGGAAGGCCGAGCCACACACTGTCGAATGCTGCGTGCGAACTGCACAATACATCGGGCTCGGGGGCTGCTGTGCCCGCGGGCTACGGGTGCGGCATTGGAGCAGCGTTTTGGGACGTAGCGGTAATCGTTCACTTCATCGTGCAGTGTAGCGGTGGGTTATAGCGACACACTGTGCATTTTGGTCAGGTCATGACCTTGACCTGGGTTCAAGTTTATGCTTTTTCATATAATTTTATATATCGCCCGACGCGCCTAGCGTCGAGAAGTGAGATACTGATCTCTGAGTCTGCAACTACAAATAACGGCACACATTGTTAGGAAGCAAAATCTGCAGAAAAAGTTAGGCATTTTTACCTGTCATGACCTTGGTGCGTCAAACAAGTGATCTGAGGTCATTTTCGTCTGCATCATACGGAAAGGTTTTTAAAGTGAGCTAGCTGATGTGTCATGACTGAATTCATTTAACCAGACCATATAATATACTTTGTGGGACGGCCACCTCGTTTACTGTTTACCTACCGGCTACCTACATAGAGTTATGTCACACATTTCGCAGTGACCAGTAGTGGCCGGGAAGCGACACGTACGTAAAAATATAACGAACGTCGAAGCATCGCGTGAAGTAGCGCAAAAAAAGAAGAATTTTTGTCAGGGATAAGTGTAAGTTCAATTCTCCAAATAAAGAGACCAGTATGGTATGGTTTCATTTCATTCCCGAAGAAAGCGTTTCGACCTTTGGACTTCGGATGATGTAACGCTTTTACCGATCAATAAAACCACCAATCATCCTCGGGACCTCGCGACCTGCCAGTGGGTGCACCACAGCGAGAGGTGCGGGGCGGGCGGTGAGCACACCTACCTTGAACGGCGGTCTCATCTTCGAGCTCGACGAGCACACGACCGCTGACAAACTGTCCCGGGAAATAGAGCAGCGTCGGGTTGTCGAAAAGAATCAGGAACTTGAGCAGTTTCCGCGGCATGGCTGACGCTCACAGGGGTGACACACGAGGGAAAGCGCCGGGCGGGGAGGGGGCGGGGGTGGCGGTCACAGACGCGAAATGTCACTCTCGTCGGAGAGATGTGAGCATAACGCACAACTCAGCACCATGACCACGACGGGACTCGTCTCGACCAGCGCTCACTCCAGCAAAGACACGCCCCTTCAAACACCACAGCACGGGCGAAACGCGTCACCCAACCCGCGGGTCGGGGTCCCAGAGAGCACTGCCGGCCGCCGGCGGACGCGGCACAACTTTCGCCGGGAGCCGCGGCCCGCGCCGAGCGAGAGGTGACCGAGATGGGAGAGTGAGGTGCCTGCCATCTAGTGACGGATCTAGGAACAACAGCTTTGGGATATTGGCACAGACGATGTGAGTAGGACGGATGAGGTGGTCTCGGTCGGGGATCCGTGCATTTTTATTTTAGCGGGATGGGAGGGGGGGGGGGTGGTGGAAGGGAGTCACGAGTGTTTCGAATAGATTAAACGGTGTTGAATGGATTAACTGCAGCATCGTGTCCCAACTTTTGGAGATGGTGTCAAATTATGCGCCTCTCTATGTTTTTGGCGCGTCGCGACCCGTGCTTCACATAATCAGTCATTGGAGGTTGTTTCCTGATGAGCGCATCAGCGGCATGAGGTCGCATCACGATACCGGGATTAGTTAATCTTGGTACGACATCGGACCGATATAGTTACAAGACGAGCTTTGCATGCTGCCTACTGTCCCATCGAACTCCTTTTCTATCCTTCCCCCTAGGTTTGCATTGACAGACTGCTTATAAGCCAGACCCGTAAGGTGTTGCTGCTGAAATTCGCGCTCAATGTGACCTGTCCGAACCCCTAGCACATCACCTAAAAATGCCCACATAGCTCAAAGACAATGTAGACAATATCGGCGTGTATTTCAAACAGGACAATATGGTAGCGCAACATGAGCAAAAAGGCTAGTCTATTGACGCTTGGAGCTTGGAATGAGGCCAGAACAATGCACCAGTCGCACCCAAAAACAGTTCTTTTCTTCCCCGCGCGGTGAGTCCTATCACAAACAGTAACCACAGCAGACGGTTCGCGTGCTTGGCACGCAATCTCAACTGAAACGGACGCCCACACAATAATGCACTCTCACTCTGAGACCCCCGTAGACCTTCGACCTCCCGTCCCCATGCCCATCCCAATCGCGCACCTCGCTCGTCTTGGCGCCCGGGGCCTCCCGAAGTCAGTCGTCGAGGAGTAATTTGGACGTCAGCGGACCCCCGGAGGACAGATTGCCAGTGAACTCTCGGAGGACCCCAAACGCCAGTCGTTCCGGGTGCCAGCGGATATCCGGAGAACTCCGAACGACAATCGGACATTGAAGCCCGGAGTATTCCGGTAGTCAGCAGACCCCCAGAGCACCCTAACGCCAGTGGACCCCTGGAGAACTCCGACCGCCAGTGGACCCCCAGGAGGAAAACTCCAAACGCCAGCCGTCCTGTGCACCTCTGGACGTCAGCGGGTCAGTCACGCGGCGGCACCTACGCAGTGGCGTCGTCCTTTGTGACGGCGAAGTAGGCTGCCTCTGCGAGCGGCTCGTGTCCGCAGTCCAGGATGACCACGTCATTGACAGGCCGGTCCCGGCCGTCCGTCTTGGTGCCCTCCACCTTACGGACCACGTCCTGAAAGAGAGAAGAGGGAGGGGTTTGATGACCACGTCCTGACGGGAGACAGGTTAGACGGGAGCATTCCAGACCATGTCTTGATGGGGGAGGGGGGAGAAAGGAACCTACCAACCACGCTCTAACAGGGAAGAAAGTGACGGTCAAAGTCTTGTCTCGTAAAAGGGGGTGGGTGGTGAAACAGCTGTAGACCGACGCAACTTAATCATCGAAGAAAGCTGCGATTGAATTCCGAATTACGTTTTAAACACAATTAGATACTAACAAACTTGAAATAACTACCACATATATTTGTATTTTCAACATTTTCGAAATAATCTGGATAAGCATTAAGCAGGCAGCTCAACATAACCGAACAGTCTAGAGGCTGCTCACTGCATGCATACTGTCTATGCAGTTTTTTAACAAATGCACAGAGCAAAATCAGTATAATTTAAGGCCTCTATGCGGTCATGATATAAAATGCGATGGTGTCGATCCCACCGGCCATTATCGCCCAATGGTGTCGAACCAAACAGCAACCATCCATCATCAGCCTACCCTCACCACCACGTCTCGACCGCTCCACTCACCATGCCCTTGAGGACCTTTCCGAAGACGACGTGGCGTCCGTCCAGCCACGAGGTCTTCTTCACGGTGATAAAGAACTGGCTGCCGTTGGTGTCCTTGCCGGCGTTGGCCATCGACAGCCAGCCGGCGCCGTAGTGCTTCAGCTTGAAGTTCTCGTCGGCAAACTTCTCGCCGTAGATGCTGCGGCCTGAGAGGGATGGACAAAAATGCCTCATAAATACGATATAATTATAGAGCGATCACAAGATGGCAGGGTTGCAATACCTGTGGGGAACGTAAATATTATATCGGTATCCAGGTTGCCCTGGAAAATCAACCATATTTTTTTGCAAAAAAAAAAAAAAAACGTTTGGGTAGTTAAATGTTGTCTGTCTCATCCGGTGTAACCGCAGGTTGTTTGAAAAGACAAACACTATTCGTTAGAATTGTGTTTTTCTATTGAAAAACAACCGGAGCGGTCCTTCTCCGGGCTACGGATGCCGGGCGATCACGTCGTCATCCAAGCGTATTGCGTACAACATTCCAATTTGTGTTATAATTTGGTGCGAGATTTTGCTTCGGCAATATACGAAGTTATGCATCATCGGAAAAGCTCATTGGTATGAAGGCTTGGCTACACTATGCGTTTTCTGCGTGCGTTTTTTGTGCGAGTTTGCGTGTTTTGCGTAATATCGTTCTAGGAAAAAAGTTATTACTCATTTAACTTCTTTAATATTTATATAAAAGTTAATAAAACGCTTATATTAATTAAAAGTTTATGTGAAAAACATCACAAAAACGTAATGTCGTTTCTTTCTAGAACGATATTCCGCAAATCACGCAAACCCGCAGAAAACGCACGCAGAAAACGCAAAGTGTAGCCAGGCCTCTATCCTTATTGACCAGCCATACATGGTTACGATCTCGTTCCCAAATTTCAACAAAACATCTTCTTTTCTCCCACGCGGACACCCCCACCCCATTCCACCCCTCCCCGTAAACTCCCGGTCCCGCCGTCCCTCACCTCCGGTGCCGTCTCCGCGGGTGAAGTCGCCGCCCTGCAGCATAAAGTCCGAGATGACCCGGTGGAACTTGCTGCCCTTGTAGCCCTCGCCGGCCGGCTTGGTGGCCAGCTCGGCAAAGTTCTTCACTGTCTTGGGCACCGTCTTGCCGAAGAGGCCGATCTCGATCCGGCCGGCGGCCTCGCCTCCGATGGTGATGTCGAACCAGACCTGCAGAGCAGGGAAGATGGGCAGTAGGGTGAGGGAAGGGTGTGGGAGGGAGAAAAGGGGTACATGAGGACATGTTCGTTCACACCAATGATCATTAAACATTTTTTAGGTTATCAAAATTTATGCAAAATAAATAGGGACATCACTATGTCGAACCTCACGGCCGTAATTAAGACTAGAGAATAAGTAATGACCATGTTATGGATGTTTTCAGTTCTATTATCAGGACTAACACTGTGCAATGGAAGCCAGATGTATGTAATGCATCCCACAGCCAGCTTATGAGAAACTGAGTGCAAAAACACCCAGATGTGCTAATTCTATCCTGTACAATGCACATAGTCGAGTGTTAAGCTGAGCCTTACCTTATCTGTGACCTTGGGGCCATTGGCCTCAGCAGCAAAAGCCAGCCCCAGAAGAGCCAGGCAGACTGCTGAGCGCATCACTTGCTGCATGGTGGTCTCTGAAATAGAGGAGAGGTGAATTAACTTTCAGGGACTGTATGTGCACCAAATTCTTGGAATGAAAGATACAACCTGGTTTGGTGCCATTTAACCCCTAAAGTGAACAACTGAACATCCTCAGTCACCAAGTAAGTTACCAGCGCAATATTTTTGGAGCCACCACTCACAAGGCACCAACCATGGGTCAACCAAATCACCTTTATGTCTCGCAAATCAAAGTCTGCTATGTGGAACACACTAAGCAAATGACACATCAAATAATTAAGCATAACTAAGCTTCACAATTACTGCTTACATGGAAGTTGGAACATTTTTAGAATGCCTTGGAGAGCAACTGTGTAATCTTGACCTGTTATAGTTGTAAATGTTATTGTTCAGCTGGGACATAGTTTATGTATAAAAATGTATGACCTGTTATGTGTAGAACACCTACAGCAGAGAGGACCTATGCATTCATGCTCCAGCACATTTGGCTCTGATCTTCAGTTATCAATTATCATGACCTTGGATAATGTATGGTCTGTTACAAGAGTCATAGCTTTCTTTATCTTACTTTTTAACCAAAACAAACTTTGCAAAGTTCCTCATTTTAAGCAGATGAGGAACAAAGCCATTATTTGAGGTTGCAGTTCTCATTTTGTAAAAAAAGGGCAAATAGGTACCTGGTACAGTGCCTCAAAGGACCAATAATTCCAAATTAGCTGTGAAAGTAGTAAGTGCTACAGCCAAGCCATCTAAATTCAGACAAAGTGCTTCAAGTCATTACCATGTACCTATTTGGCTCACAACTTAGTGAACTGAGTAAATTGTCTACACCAGCTGTCTGAAAATATTAGAAAAATGATGTCAGACAAAGGAATTAAGTATGTTGGCATGTGCATCAAAAGCTGTTTGGCTTTAACTCAGAACATATCTAGACTATAACAGCCTCCATTTAGTTCTGTGTCAAGAAGTGTCTGCCATACTTTAAAAACATTTTATTCAATATATTTGCCTTTAATCCAAAGAAGCCAAGGTCACCAATTTACTGTCCAATACCTTCTGTGGAGCAGCTTTCACAGAGTATCTGATAGTCAAAATGTTTATCAGTAGGTTACCTCAATAACTGGTGGCTGCTCACGAGAGGTGCTCTGGAGGTGTATTTCGCAATCGCAACAACACGCACCACTGCATTACCAAAAAATGAACACTGCATACCAAAAAAAAATTACTAACAATCTTATAAGTACCCAATCTCCTACATTCTAAACGCCACAAGGAAAAAAAGTGTGTTGCCATCTCCAAGTACATGCCCTCAAGCCATCTTAGTATTTTGATTCATGACCACCCAAAAATAAACTCTTAGGCTGATAATCAACTACCACTTAAAATACCTAAACAATACAAATGAGCATTCAGGCTTAGTTGTAGTGACGTGATTCCTCAAGTCCAACACTCGGGGAAGAGAAAAAATCGGAGGGGTGTTCACGGGCACCGCACACTGCTGCGTGCGCTGTGTGCGGTGCGTCCAGCAGGCGTGGGGGTAGGGGATGGGTAGGCGGTTCTGACGTCACGGCTGCGTGCGGTGGACGGTCCGCTGTGGCCAGTCCCGACCGGCCACAGCGATCGCTGTGTGCGGTGACGGAAGGCTGACGTAGGGACGCAGTGGGCGGAGCTTGGAGGCTGTGTGCGGTCCGACCGCACACAGGGCCCGTGAACAGCCCTCAGAAATGATTGTGATCCATCCAAGGATCCATCATAGTCCATAGCCGCAACTTGGTTGCTACGTGTAAGTGCTACATAACTTCTTTGACTTGCTAGGTAGGTACTTTCTATATCAGCAAAAAATGGTTCTAAGGAGGAACAAATAAAATTACTCACACAAATCAGTCTCAAGACCCGACAGGAAGAACGCCAAGTAATGAAAGACGGAAACCGGCCGGCAAAGACGAACGGTGAAAAAGTTGACGCGGATGCGACAATTGCGTGGCGCTCTCTCACTGGCTGCGCCGCGATGTTTACAACAACGCCACGTAGATGCAAATGGATGCAAATGCGATTACCCCGTCCTCTGGCGACATCCAAGTAAAGCTAAGCTTATTACATGGATCCTAGATGTAGACGCTAGTTCAATATACCCTGGACGCTGGCTTCTTTCCGTCCGTTTTCTCGCCACACGATCTTGACACGACCGGGGATCGGAGTAAAAACTGTGCAGTGTGCCAAGGCCCAAGAATCATCGCTGGCAGTGGGGTAGGTAATAGGTATAAGTAATCTTGATTCTTGGTAGGTATAAGGTGGAGGGGGGTCAAACTAGGTGGAGGAGGGGAAGGGAAAACGCCCCTCGTTTTTAATTTTTCGTGAGAACTCATGCAAAAAGCAAAGCGGCCGATCGCGACGAAAGTTCCATACCTAGGTATACCCAGTCCTATACCTACCTAACGTTTTTAACCCATTTACGCCCTTCGTTGCGTTTTCGCAACACAAGCACGCGTCGACGTGATCAAATCTTGAGAAGTGTATAATAACGTCTCACCGATGAGACAAGTTTCAGCGCGTTTAGCATGGATCCGCGCATGATGCTACGCAGTTACAAGTCTGTGCGGCCGGTAACTTACCGTCCAGAGCTCCCAGAGGGAAGTCAAAGGTCCCGTCAGTGATGACGTCACGAAAACCAAAATAAGTAGATTAAGTGATTAATTATATCGTAATGAATAATGTGTGAACATATTCTGCAGAGTCCCTACAATAGCTAGAATATACATTTTATTAACAAATTATGCTGCAAATAGGGTTTATGACTATTTTCAAATATGACTACAGTCGTGTTGCGGTAACGCAACGTTGGGCACATCGGAAAGACAGGGGTGTTGCGAAAACGCAACGAGGGGCAAATTGGCAGGGCAGCGGAAGTATAGAAACATCAAATAGACTTCACTTGAGATACGGTGTGGGTTCTTTCCTTCTCTCCCCAATCTTCCTCCCTCTCTTCCACGCTCCCCCAACTCTCTCTCCTTCCCTCTCTCTCTCTCTCTCTCTCTCTCTCTCTCTCTCTCTCTCTCTCTCTCTCTCTCTCTCTCTCTCTCTCTCTCTCTCTCTCTCTCTCTCTCTCTCTCTCTCTCTCTCTCGTTTTGTAGTCGTGAGGGATGTGTAGGTATGTAAAGTGCAAGGTGCATTTGCACGTGAATGTTGCGACACGTTTCACATTAACTCACTTAAACAGCTATCAAACACTCATTTCTTTTTCTTGCAGATTATCGGGCTATTCGAGCAATGGGTTTTCGAGCATCTGAAAATCGCATGGTAGGAAAAGGACCTGCATCAAACGCTCGGCGATGCTAACGGAGCTGAGAGATAGCGAGGTACTTTGAAAATTGGATCTACTTTGTACTAAATAATGGGTACGTAGTCTGGTATCAGACGACAGATAGGCATTGTCATTCTCTGGATGCAATCCGCTGGCCCTTACGTTAGAAAAGATAACTCCCAGAAGCGGCAAATGTGGGATATGCCCCCTCGGGGGGGGGGGGGCAACAGACCCCTTCGGCAGGAGTGATGAGGGCGTCTGGAAAATAATAGTTTATTTTTAGAATTCATGGTTTGCACGGATTGATAAGGTGGTTGATGTGAAGCATTGCTTGTTTGTTTACTGAGGGTAGGCCTTTTGTCTAATCAGACCATTTTAGAGCTAGAAGCATTATTGGAATTAGGGAAAACATTGGTCTGAGCGGGCATGGTGAATCGTCGAGGCTGAGCCCATCCATCCAGGCCACCCATGAACCAGCCCCCCCCCCCCCCCCCTTCCCAAGCACTTTCTGTATCCGGCTACAGACCTGTGCTCCTATGGGAGCTGCTCGAATGCGATATACCTAGTTGCCCGTCCAGCTCGAAACAAAGGTTGAGGCATGGAGAAGGATTCTACTATCCTAAAGATGGAAAGGACGGATTGACGAAACACTTGGGAAGTGTGAACTGCGTCGAATCACCAGTCTGCCCTGGCATTGTCTCGAGAAAGAGGTTACAAGTGTGAAGGTCGCTGAGAGTGGGACAATGAAAATTTTGGATTAGGTGTAAAAGTGATAAAATGGGTCCTGGGAGACACTTTCAGCCGAGTTGTTATGACGCTCTACGCCTTACGCAGGTAATTTGTGAAAGCCGGATAGGTTCATTTTTTGATGAGTGTGCACGACTACCCTGCATTTGAATTTGTCTTTACTCCTAGGAGGGTGATTAACAATGGTATTGCGGATAGGCGCTTAGGCGAGGCACTGGTTGACTCCCAATCCTCGGTTAAATTGTTTTCAGTTTGGGGTTCTCATATGAGAGGGTAATGGGCTAATGGCTCTGTCTAACTTCCAAAAAGAAAGCACCGCCCAGGGTACGTGCCGACCACTAGGTACTTTAAATGGACAATTGTTGTTGATAATGACCGTTTGTTGCCATCTCCCCGTTCGCGAACTCTTAATTATGATCCCTCATTGAGGCTCTTAGGCGGATAATAAAGCATGAGGGATGTGGGTTCCGCATTCTCAAGCAATATTTGTCAACGGTTGGTGAAATATATGTTAAAACAAACTAGCATATACGGCGGTTTAGTGTACTTTATGTCCGTCTGATGTGCCCGTCGTTGCGTTTTCGCAACGCTGATGGCGCCCGGTGTGCCCTTCGTTGCGATTTCGCAACGCACGTTTTTTACGTTTTTCTCGAAAAACTTTTGCTGCCGGCAAAAATTATTTTCGATTCCATGCAAGGCCCTGGTAGAAGCGTAACATATCTTGATTTCATCGATTTTCATGATGGTCAATATTCCTGGGCATAAATGGGTTAAACTTAACAATAACCCTCGCCCGTATATTAGCTTCTTTCAGTTTTGCCAGCCGCGAATGTATAGGGGAGAACCGTCAAAAATGCCCCTCGCCGGACCTATTGTTTTTCTACATACGCGCCGGCCGAGGGGGGGGGGCGGGTACGACCCCCCCTCGAAAACGAGTACATGCAAAGAGAGGTGCAAAAGTTATTGAATGATAAACAAAACTTACACAAATATCATAAAACACTTGCCTCAATAAGGGAAAAAAAAAAAACAAAATAACACAATTCCACCACTTCTCGGACGTGACGGCACAATACTAAACGACGAACAAGACAAGGCGACACTACTAAACGAACATTTTGCTCTACAATCCACACTTGACATACCGGACACACGACTTCCACCGACAACCACCGCAGACATGACTCCGATACCAGCCCTCGACAACATTACGACTGACGAACATGAAGTACTTCAAATGAAGTACTCTAGACACCAACAAATCTACCGGACCAGACGGCCTTCCCGTAAAGTTCTTAAAACTAACAGCACTCCTAATTGCAAAACCACTGTCTCAACTGTTTAACAAATCATTATCAATAGCAGTGGCGGCGCCACGAATTTTCGCCAGTGGGGGCAAGCTTGAGGTAACCCGACTGTGGTCTGATACCTACCCCGATCTGCAAAATCCATGAGCACCTTGCCCCTAGAGGTTGCCATTCAAAATTATTATGGTTTCAGGTTTCATGCATAATTGAGCTTAACCATTAACCCTCGCGGGCCAGGAGGGGGGGGGGGAGGGGGGAGGGCGTTTTTCGCCTCCCCTGGCGAATATTTGCGATACCTCATGAACACTTAGGGATAGAAAGACGAAACTTGCTGTACCTTATCCCCCATTAATTTGACATCTTTTGAAGCAAGCGAATTGGACCTAGCCTTCTTGATAACGTCTCGGGGCTGATTTTCCTAGACTCCTGCACGGCAAACTTCGGCGTCACAGACGTGAACTTCAACCAGCTGCCAAAAATAGAGGTTTAGAGATGAAGACGAATTACGAGCACGGTTGTGTGGCATTTGACCTAGAAAAATGCTTAAGTAACTTTGGTGACCTGAGGTTGGAGGTCAGGTCAATGACCCCGAGCTGGGGCTTTAGTTTTTTTTTTTGCAAATAACTTCAACAAAAATGGTCCTAGAGCTACGACAGCGGTAACATCGCATTTGTCTCGTCGAGACGTGTCGAATGACATATATTATATATTATATATACATATATATATATTGTTTGAAAAAGGTCAAGTTTTATGTTGACATCATGTGACCTCGAATGACCTTTGGTTGACTTTGACACATGAAAGGGCGTTTGTGATGATTTCGTTGCCGCTGATCACGATTCTGGCATCCATTATGCTCTAAGCATTCATTTAGAGCCTCAGGATGGCATAACATGTCTTAATTATTATGCCTGACTTGAATAAGTGAAATAACCTCTAGCAAGGATACTCTCTTGTGACTTTAAACCTTGTAGCAGCCTTTTATCGTAAGCTAAGGCACAAATAGGGGCCCGCTAAGCTTCAAAACATTTCAAAACATTTCGGAATTTAGTAAACAAGATATAAGAAAAAGTGCAAAGTTTGTGGTCAATTTTGATCATGACTGTGACCT